GACAAACATGGGTTACTGAAGATCAATATTCTAATCCGGACCTTCACGGATAAAAATATGATTAGATATTTCTGTATGGGTTTTATACCTTGATTTAAAGTACAAAGTTTCTCCTTCTTGGAGGTGTTCACAGTAAGTGAAGATATTATTACTGTTTAATTTCGTTGTGATCATTGCCCTGCATTCCTGTGTCCTGATTAGTTGCACTAGTCCCCAATTGATAAGATAAAATAAATCACCGGGGATTTTACTGCTCGCAGGCTGTTTTATTGCTTGCCTGTTGTTTTACTGCTTGCCTGCTGTTTTACTGCTCGCTGGTTGTTTTACTGCTTGCCTGTTGTTTTACTGCTTGCCTGTTGTTTTACTGCTCGCCGGTTGTTTTACTGCACGTCTGTTGTTTTACTGCTTGACGGTTGTTTTACTGCCCGCCCGTTGTTTTACTGCTCACCCATCGTTTTACTGCAAGCCTGTTGTTTTAATGCTCGCCGGTTGTTTTACTGCTTGTCGGTTGTTTTACTGCAAGCCGGTTGTTTTACTGCAAGCCTGTTGTTTTACTGCAAGCCTGTTGTTTTACTGCTCGCCGGTTGTTTTACTGCTCGCTTGCTGTTTTACTGCAAGCCGGTTGTTTTACTGCTTGCCTTGATTTACTCGGTTTATATTTTTGCCTGTAATTATCTCGTAGGAACGGCAGGACGCACAATTACGGCAACATAACCAAGTCAGTTCCCCTGTGGGTGGGTGATACAAACGTAAATGCTTCTAATGTACTCTGACATATGTGAATCGGAGGTGAAACCTTGGTAAACCTTCTGTAAACATGGTGTAATACCATTGGTGCAGCCGCCTATAGTAGGCTCTCTTATGGTCAAACCCATCACTGGACGCCTTGCTTTCAGGTAGGCTGCAGAGCCGGGATTTGCCAGTACCGTTTTCAATTTACCCTCATGTATATGTACTTGTACGAAGTTCCTGTTGATGACAGAAGCGGATTTGAATCTACAGCGTCCTGTAGTGGACGAACAGAGACGATCTTGTCTAGGTGTCGTTTCTTCGGCCGGTCACGCTCGTCTGTATAAAACCCGTTCATGTAGACAAGATAACCAAACTCAGAACTGGAGTTGAAATACAAAGAAATACGTTGAGTCCAAACATCTTTAGCTGGCTATCCAATGCATGATAAACAAATTCACAAAGACAGCAATGAGCGGAGTTTCCTGCTCTGACATAAATGAGTTGAGTTCCAGCTAAACTTCAGGGCATTTGGTACGAGCGGCACATCTTGCTTTGCGGTCGTCCTTACACAGGCAGTCGGAATATATAGTCAGTCAGTCAGTGTATAGCTAAAGACAACAATGAATAGATAAAGGTTGAGGGAATTGACAAATTGATGTGATGACAGAGACAGCTTTGTTGATAAACAAGTACGGTTACAAATGTCATAGTTTATATAACAGTAATTAATGAAACTGTCAGAGAGGCTCGGATTGACTGACAAGCCAATCTACAAATGCAGTATTGATGAGGAATATAAATTGAGATTTAGCGTCGTATAAATAATTGCAATTAAGTTACTACATGTTCCAGCAACATAGTTTTTGGCTTTTGGAATTCGGACAATGACTGCCCTGAATCAGTCGCTATGACATCCCTCGACCCCACATGCTGGACGCTGCTTGCCAAACGGTTGGGAAATTACACGTTTTGATTTGCAAAACATTCGGGTATAATATGGACGTCCCATCTCTATCGTACTCACATGAAAATTATGAAATTCGCCAATTAGGACATCTCGGTGGTATTCCTAAGCGTATACACAGCTCAAATGTGGTTGTGAGCATAACTTCTCCTGTAGCACATACAGTTTGACGTGTCTGTCCACGTTCATGCAGGTCAGAAAAATGCACAGATTCAGATGCAACACCAGGGTATTGTAAAAATACAATTCAACGGAAGCTGGATCAAAAAATAAGTTCCTTTATATTTTGTCGGTGGTACACGAAAATAAATATATATTTATGTAGCAGGGCGTGGAGTCATCCCACAGATGACATCCTTACCTTGTCAGCTTGCTGACGGGGTTAATCTCTTTGGTCATGTGGACAAGGCGCCCGACTTCGGATTAGAAGGTCCGTGGTTCGAATCCCAGCCCGGGACTCGGAAACTTTATGGCCACTACATTTATACTATGTTTGTTGGTTCAGGGTATTCACTGCAAGGATGCGTCCCCGAAACGATGTATAGTATTGATGCTTAATTATATTAAATGTGCATGATTGACGTTATTGCAATATGTTCAATCCCGAAGAATGTGTTAATGTATGACAAGAGGAATCAACCGTAAATGTCAATGTGTTAGTAGTATTAGGTCATCAAATCATCATCATGCGAACAACATGGAGAGGTTCTCAACATCCGGGTTACAACTGGCCTTCAGCAACCCATGCTTGCCATAAGAGACGACTAACTTCATCGGTAGGTCAGGCTTCGCTGACGTGGCTGGCACATGTCATCATATCGCAGTTGCGTAGATCGATGTTCATGCTGTTGATCACTTAATTGTCTGGTCAGACTCCATTATTTACAGACCGCCGCCATATAGCAGGAATATTGCTGAGTGCGGATCGGCGTTAAACAACAAACAAACATCTTACGACTTTCCCTCGCTCTATTCCTGAAGAGTCAGAAGTAATGCTGCTACATCAAAATTTAGGTGAAAGTAATGCTTTATGTTTTATATCTTGAAATAACATCTGTAAATCAATAAAATGATTCTATACACTTGTACTGTAAGGCTGTAGGCCCCTACGGTCCTTTGTATGGTGTCCCAACTTTGGTTCTTATTGATCTATAGTCTATAGTCTATTGTGTATATATAGTCATGTGTGTTTATCTATGATGTTAGCATCACAGCTTCAATTATTTTTGTGCAATGCATGTCTTCGACCGTTTTTTGTCAACAACCTTTTATAGTCTAATTATATTTCGTTTTGATGTGTAAATTCTTCACTATGTGCCTGCTACCGGTAGGACAGGACCGTTTTGGCGTGCATCTTGTGTCATCACTTATTATCAGTTATCTATTAAAAAATCAAAGCTACTTTTTCTTCTTTACTCCAAACGGAATTAGTTTCTGATGACAATGAAGGCTGGTGTTCAATTGAACACACGTTCTATATCAAATATCATATCTCGATGTGAATTTGAATTAGTCACTCACAATGTTCACAGTAAGGGTCCATCTGGTCCCGCATACGGTGATCTACCAACGACTGCTGGGACAGATTGGGCTTATTAAATATTGCTGCTACTTCGTAATCGACTATTTCTGTGTTTGTTTAATGGTTTCACAATTTCTGGGTTAATCTTGGCGTATGAGGCAGCGTCTCACAGTCTGCGTGGAGGAAACCTTCGACCGACTGCCGCAGACAGATGATATACCGGAAGGAATGTATGTAAGGCAGGGCTGGAGGAAACCTTCGACCGACCGCCGCAGACAGATGATATACCGGAAGGAATGTATGTAAGGCAGGGCTGGAGGAAACCTTCGACCGACCGCCGCACACAGATGATATACCGGAAGGAATGTATGTAAGGCAGGGCTGGAGGAAACCTTCGACCGACCGCCGCAGACAGATGATATACCGGAAGGAATGTATGTGAGGCAGGGCTGGAGGAAACCTTCGACCGACCGCCGCAGACAGATGATATACCGGAAGGAATGTATGTAAGGCAGGGCTGGAGAAACCTTCGACGGCTGCTGCAGACAGATGATATGCCGGAAGGAATGTATGTGAGGCGGGGCTGGAGGAAAGTTACATGCCAAAGGTGCCCATGTCAAACACTTTGTTGAAATCGCCTGAAGTTGTCGATGTGACCTTGTCTCCGGACCTGTACAGCTGTCCAAATGTGCATCATTCTGATTGTGTTTTTCGTGAGGCAAGGAGATCGGTTGTGATGGACATTACGTTCTCCCAGTGTAGTGGGAAACATAACAAAGGGAAATAACTTGGTTACAGGCGGCGCTTGTGTGCTATAAAAATGTCTGAGGTTTTGCAATACACCACTCTGAATAACAACATTTTCCTTTCATGTTATGGCAGTTTGTGTGGGTTTGTCGTCTGGTTTCGAAGACTTAAGTTTGTCACCATTTCATTACTAAGTCTGTAAAGAAGGGCTTATCTGTGTATATACCCAGCCTTTGGAGAGACGCCATCCATGGATTGTCTCCCTTTTGTAAGCGATCTTCCCGGAGACTATTTCTGTTACCTTCATCAACCATGTGGCGTAGCTCGTTATGTATACTTCACAGATTCCAAACACAATGTTGAATCAAAGAGAGGTCACTCTATAAAGTCACCAAACCTGACTAGAAAAATAGCCTAGATCTTTACAAGACACAGCATCACAATACCCTATAACATAAACGTCATTTTACCACTGTCAACCTGTCTCTAGATGTAGGCTGTTGTCTGCATGGATGTTAGTTGTCAGGGTGATAGTTTTGACCGGCTCGTGGTTGATAGCATCACTCTAGCTCCTGTTTTGGAAGTCGATGACCTCGATATTTGGATGACGGTCCGTGGTGGAGCCTGTGCCATTCTTTCATGTCATATAATCATCTCGGCCAGGTGGTTTCAATGTGTTTCCACTTCTACCGGGACCCTCCTCTATCCAGTATATATCTCCCATCTGAGTCCATATTTACAAACCAAACAACATGTCCATTACAAGTCGGGACCAGATAATTCAATGATTGATGGAATACGATGACGTATCCAAGAAGGCGAGCCTGACCGTCCTATCCCGTAAGTCATTTCCTACGACAATAGTAGGCGGTCCTGTCAGGTATGGGTTGATAAAAACCAAATTATAGACCGTGTTCTTGACAGAGGCTACTAAGGTTATCGGTGAATACAGGTCCCCAGTCACCTACTCATTTGTGTATGATGTCTTTTGTTCTAGATCACAGCTGACGAAACACAAATGGGTTAACCTCCAAATAGCAATATCGATTATGAAATTTATTAAAACAACATTCAGTGTAACATCAAAATATAAGTATTTACAATGCGAAGTATTCAATGTATAAGTATCAAATGTGTTGCAGGCAAGAGTGACTAACTATCGCCGTATCGTTTTACGAATCTACGTGTCCCTTGGTTTCCCCAAAATCCATGGCCTTGGATCTTGAATCATAATACGCTCCGGTTTTGAGTCATGTGGCCATTCGTCTTCCTTCAAATAATGGTAGAGGACCCGGTTCAGAGTTTTCCGCAAAAATAATCTTATCGTCAACTTGAAATATTACTAAACTTACAAATCTATTTTAGAATCGTATCGTGATATCGTGGTTTATGTACCGCTATTCACAGAACATAATTCGGTTCCTTAACCATTCAGGAACTGCCAGTCCTTGTTGAGACTCTCACTATTGTATCCACACCGTATTCCTTGATCTGCCGTACACGTGGGTTTGACGGCCACTGCGTTTGGTTTTCCTTCACAGACAAAGTTTATTCCACAATTCCACTACTGTAAGGTAGCCACCCCACTGACTGAGGTGGTCATTAAAATGTTTGTGTCAGGGTTACAACATAAACTCAATAGTTTTCATATCGTCTGTAAACAATGCATGGTCAGCAAGTCATGTGTTCTATTGATATCTTGGCCGTCAACTACAGAAACACTATGACTTGGCCCATGTCTTCTTCTTTAATGTCGCTGTAGATATGTTGAGAGTTCCGTGATGTAGTTTGCCGTATAGATGGCGTGCCCTCCGGGTCCGTCCTGCAATTATAATTCGTTTATTAGAATTAGGTGATATACATACCGTGTTGGAAAATCAGAGGTATATAACCAAAATAATAATAGCGTAGCGTGAGGGTGTAAATATAAAAGATAGAGCTACTATAATGAAATTATATTCCTCTGTATTCTAAATGATTAGGTTTAGAAATCAAGACAAATTATGCAGTGATTATAATGGCAATACAAGATAGAGTGGCCGTACAAATTCAATGGCAATACAATTACAATAAGGTACCGTTCGTGATTTATGGCTGGTGTGTGTGTGTGTGTGTGTGTGTGTGTGTGTGTGTGTGTGTGTCTCTCTCTCTCTCTCTGTGTGTGTGTGTGTGTGTAATGGTTTTGGCCTCACAACAACTCACCCTATTACAGGGGAAGCATTGAGTGTCATTGTGATACTGCTCTGAATTAAGAATTGTCTTTACAACATAGAATCAGGTCATGCTGGCGGTAGGACCACGTCTTCCACCTGGGACAGGTAAGGATCACCTGGTGTCAGGTCATTCTGGCGGTAGGACCACGTCTTCCACTGGGGACAGGTAAGCATCCCCTGGTGTCAGGTCATCAGTGACGACGTCAGGGATCAGGTGGGTGTACGATCGGGACGTTGATGAGGCTGGACTCTCTGGTGACGTATCACCATCTCTGTGTACAATGGCCGGAGCTGCTGGGAACACATCCGCTATGACCGGCATGTCGAGATTCAGCTCTTCTTCAAGGTGGCTATGGCTGACAGGTTGTATCTGCGGGTTGACGCCCATGTTCACTTCTATTTCACAGTAGAACTGGTAGTCGTCAGAAGGAGCCTGTTCCTCGTCAGCTGCAGCCTGTTCCTCGTCAGCTGCAGCCTGTTCCTCGTCAGCTGCAGCCTGTTCCTCGTCAGCTGCAGTGATCTGCCTGTAGGAACAGAAAAGGAAGTACAAAACAAACCCAAAGAAAAACAGTGAGAAGACTACGTTTGTATGAGAGTGCGTATTCCACTTTGAGCGGAAACATCTTCCAAGTGACCCAGTCGAGTTACACCTCCTCCTGTTGTCAATCACACAGATCATGCTGATTCGATGGGTAAAATGTAAGATCGTGTTATTTGTAAAAGAGACACCGTATGATGAGGATAGTTTGCTTGTATTGATCACAGCAGCACCATTCCAACTATATAAGGACGTCCTGAAAATATAGTCGAGTATTCACAAGGTTGATTTAAGCAACGAGGTTGCAAGTGACCTAATGGCAGTCGGCCGCCACCCGGTTTGTAAATATATTGTCACTTCCGTCAACGTTCCTGTGGACGAGCACGACGTAGCACGACGCTGGCTGGCCATAGACGCAGGCAACATTGTCCATGAACGGGCGCCTTTGGTAAGATGAATGATTAAGGTGTAAATCTGGACAGCAACAATCTGCAACTCTCCCATAATTCTACACCCAAATATAACAAAAATATATTCTCTTCAACAAAGTAGTAGACCCTGAATAAATATTGTGTGGGCATAATTCAAAAGGACCTACTTTCACATCTTACTCCATCACATTAATTGTTCTTGATATATCAGTAAAACCCCAGGTCTGATATGACGACAGGATAACATGAGTACCAACCTTCTTGCAGCATGACCCTTCCTGTAGCAGATGTAGTGTGACACCAGGAGAGCCAGAAGGAACGCAACACAACCTGTTGGGAGTCCGATGTTGATAACATTCACCTTGGAATCTGATGAGGAGTCATAATAATATAGATGATGAATAGATACCCAGTGCTGACATCAGGGGACTTTTAGGTTGGTTTGGGTGTAGATGGATTAAGGACAAATTGGTTTTGGGAAGATAAGCTGATGATTGGATGGGTTGAGAAGGAGATGGCTGTATGGATAGATGGGTAGGTGGCTAGACTAGGTGGTGGGTACTTTGAATGTTGGCATATGAGGTGATGGTTAGAGGCGTTGGTAGGTTGGATGTGTGCAAAGGTAGATGGGTTGATGGTTAGATTGGATGATGGATAGATGGATTGTCCATGTGTTAGTGGTCAGAGACGATAACAGTGAGATAGGGTGGTGCGTAGGTGTAGTGGGTAGACAGATGTGGAGGGAAAGAAATATGATTAAAATTTTGCAAGCAAAATGATAATGTTTATGCAAACAATCAGTTAGGTCGATGTTTGTATTGGTTATGGGGTTTAGAGTACCTGCATCACATGTCGGCGCATTAAGACAATAGTCCATGGAGCAGTTGCTGGTACAGGAACGTTCACATGCACCTTCACTGACGTCACATCCGTTGATACACGCGCCGGTCTTCTGATCACAGATCCCGTCACGGCAAACCTCACAGCTATTATTACAAAGGTCCCCAAAATACCCAGGTCTACATCCTTCCACACAGGTACCGTTTGTATGGGCCACAGGTTTGGTTCTTGCAGCGGTCACACGGCTCACAGTCTCTGCCGAAATAGCCAGATCTACATCCATCCACACACAGTCACCTACAGCATCACAGCGTCCACCACTACACAACCTGTACTGCATGGAAAGGAGCACCGTAGACCATACCAGCCGTCTACACAGCCATGGAGGCACTCGCCACTCTCCATGTGACACTCAGATGTACAAAACGCCGAAAGCAGTGGCACCATCGGGCAGACATCTGGCCGTGTGATTGGTGCTGGATACAAACTTACAGTGTTGACTGCACACATCCAGGCAGTAGGCCTCAGTTAATTCATAGTAACTGATACATTGAATTTTGCAGTTTATTCCATCGTAACCATGGATACAACCGTCAGTGCATTCCTCAAAGCCTCTCCCTGTCGCCTTACATCTATCATTCTTGCAGGCTTTGTTACATTTTGATCTACAGGACAGGTCGAAATACCCAGTGTTACATTCTGTTGTACAATATCCTCTCTTGTCGCAGTCTGAACACTCCTGGCTGTCCCTGCACTCTGTCGCTGTAAAGTAGTCAAATAGACACGTTAACGATTGATCTCGTTATAGTCCGCGATTCCCTTCCATGTATGTTACATAGCAAGACACACAACTATCAGTACTATACACCTCCTTGTCACACTGCCGCTGTAAAGTAGTCAAATAGACACGTTAACGATTGATCTCGTCATAGTCCGTGATTCCATCCATGTATGTTACATAGCAAGATATACAACTATCAGTACTATACACCTCCTTGTCACACTGCCGCTGTAAAGTAGTCAAATAGACACGTTAACCATTGATCTCGTCATAGTCCGTGATTCCTTCCATTTATGTTACATAGCAGAGACATACAACTATCAGTACTATACACCTCCTTGTCACACTGCCGCTGTAAAGTAGTCAAATAGACACGTTAACCATTGATCTCGTCATAGTCCGTGATTCCTTCCATGTATGTTACATAGCAAGACATACAACTATCAGTACTATACACCTCCTTGTCACACTGCCGGAAGATGTTTGTTTGTTGTCTCAAACAACTCAACAATATTCCTGCTATATAGCGACGGTCTGTAAATAACTCAGTCTGGACCAGACAATTAAGTGATCAACAGCATGGAAGCAACGATCTACGCAACTGGGGATACGATAACATGTGTCAACGAAGTCAGTGAGTCTGAGCACCCGACCCCGTTAGTCACCTCTTACGACAAGTATGGATTACTGAAGATCAATTCTAGCCCGGATCTTCACGGGTATTTTCGAAAGACACATGAACAGACAATTATTAGCTTGAACACAGCCTACAAACCTAGGGTGTTCTATGAGCGCTAATAGTGCTTCCGATGGGGTATCCTTGGGTATTTGAGAAACTAATTGTCCATTGTATGGGTCTAATTAGATTCTTGTTTCGCTATATTATATATCAAATACAATCAAAGCTTTGAACCCAACTCACTCACTGAGCCAACGACAATAATTTTCTATGATCTCGATAAACCTTGCAATAAATCTATTACAACATGTACTTCACTCTCAATCTATCCATTAACTTGGAATATTACACAAGTACTAACTAACTTACTTCTACACTATACTTTATTCGTGTTTCACAACATAGCAAATGTTACATCTGACATCTTAATGTTGTTCAATTTTAGATTTGATAATTGTTATTAAAAAATGACTACTTCACATGCCTTCAGTAAAGAGAGTATATACATAACCACTTCTCGATGACGCTGATGTTAAATCAGTGAAGGAATCTACGGCTGGAACTATATTAGAGTTACTATTTCTCCACTAATACCAGGGGATAATCTACAGTCTTCTATTCTCCCCGCTTATACTAACCCTGGTGATAGAGGATATAGGATCGAATCTACAAGGAAATTCATCAAACTCGAATCACTGTTTCCTGAAATATTTCTGACTGAAATAAGAAGGAAATTATTTTTTGCCCAAACTGTTCTAACACGGCAACGGAAATGTAAACATGAGAGAGAAACAGAAATGAATATAATTCTACGTGTCACGTGTCGATTCCGAGCTGTCGACTAAACGCAATGTATCAAAACGCATTGTACCAACAGGTCAATGTGAAACCCCAAAACGACAACGGCTGTACAATTACCAGTTGTATTCTAAATGATTAGGTTTAAAATCAAGAGACAAATTATGCAGTGATTATCACTTGCATAATTTAATCTTGATTTTTAAAATTAAAACAAGATAGAGTGGCCATTACAAATTCAATGGCAAATACAATTACATAAGGGACCGTTCATAATTTATGACTGGTGTGTGTATGTGTGTGTGTGTGCGTGCGTGCATGCGCGCGCGGATTGTAATGATGCTTTTAAGGGGGCATCACCATTTTGTTATCACCATCAAGTGTTATTAATATTAACATGGCACGGTGGTCAGAAGCTTTCGAAATACACCTGGGCTGGATTATCTGGCGATCTTCACACAACTGCGGGCAATGGTGTTATTTCAAATAACAGGAAGACGTGCTTGCCCTTATATGCTCGTTAAAAGTGACCCACACTATTAATGCTGTTGGAGATTCAAGACCCCAGAGAGTCTAAATATAGCAACTAAGACACCACTGCTCTCGACCTATGTCTGATCTATCAGAAAAATGAACTAGAATCTAAAAGAATATGAAAATGAGGAAACTATTAGAGTGGGCAAGAAAATTCTTTATATAGTATGAAGAAGGTCAAAAGCCAACCAAACAAGTTTTAATACTTGGAAAATCGAAATTACTTTAGTAAAATTACATATTGCCAGGTTAATGATAAGCAGAATATCGAAGTATGATGACCTGTTGAACACAAACAGGGCAAAACGTTCATTTCGGTGTTTGAGAATAAATGGTGATTCATCTCTGAACCAGACTGGCACAGTTCATGTTCAGTGTCACTCCATGGCATACGTTGTCGCGGATCTAAACGTCGTAATACAGAGACAACAACCGGTATTCTTGGTCTAAACCCGTCTATCGCTGATGATTCCTGATTGTTGGGTTCGTTACCCTCCTGAAACAAGGTACATGTCCTGCAGTCTCACTGGCATGTGGATGAATTTCCTCCTCCATGACATATTTATTTATTTATTTATTTATTTGTTTTGTTTATTTTTTATTTATTTATTTTTATTTATTTATTTATTTATTTATTTATTTATTTATTTATTTATTTATTTATTTATTTATTTATTTATTTATTTATTTATTTATTTATTTATTTATTTATTTATTTGTTTTATTTATTTTTTATTTATTTATTTTTTATTTATTTATTTATTTATTTATTTATTTATTTATTTATTTATTTATTTATTTATTTATTTATTTATTTATTTATTTATTTATTTATTTATTTATTTATTTATTTACTTATTTATTTATTTATATATATAGCGCCAATATCCAGATCACTATATCCAAGTTTACTGCACGTTGCTGTACCCGCAACTAGGTGTTTGCACGTATTCCTGTGGCCACCATCAGGTCATATACCAACGGAGTTCGTGGGTTCTTTTAATTGCACCGGGTTGTCGTTATAAACTTTGTTATAACGATTGGGATGGTGCACCACATGGATTAACGAGAATGTAATCACTTTCGTTCAATCATAGCTATTGCATTGTGTCAACAATAAGTTAACAGTCATTCTCATCATCTCCAGTGTGTTTCGTTACTTGAAGTACGTACACATGGATACATTGAGGGTAAGATGGCGATTATGGTGTCATGGGTTTAAACGTCTGTTTGCACCCAAGACATCAAATGACAAAGAACAAAATGAATAATGTAAATGAGATGATTAACCAATCTGCATCATTTTTAATTTCTTTTCATACCATTTTTACAGTTTCACATGGGCCCTAACATGAAGGGTAGAGATCAAGAGATGAAGTCAGGTTTGGTTATACAGAGGATGTAGCAATGACAATAATATAATATTGAGTAAGCCTTTTCAACATGAACTGAAATGTTGGCATATTTCGGATGTTTTACGATTAAAAATAATACTTTTGAAAAGGATGAGGGATCACATTAATTGGGTCGTTATGTTTACGACGGAATCCAAGAAGAATTTGTTATCTTCTGAAATTCAAATTTAAATCCAGTTTATCATTTAGCCAATCTTAGAGTTTCTGCCATATATGGGTAACCTTGCTACAATCATAAAGAGGTGGGGTGTTGTTTCTATAGAATTTGAGCAATAGCTCTATTGGTTATGGTCAATATGTTTCATTCTAAAAGTCTACTATTCGTTGGCAAAATATGATAAAGCAGTTTGTATTGAAACCACTGGAGATCTGTATCTTTTGTACAACAGAAAGGGAATATGGTTATAGTTGTGCCAAGCTGGAGGTGAAGGATTTTACTAATAGGCAGGCGAAATCACTTGGTTGGTGCCTGAATTCCGATATCGTTGCTTCAGGAATTTTGCAAGCCCGATTTCGCAACTTCGTAAAGACTAATAATAGCATTATTGGGAGTTATTCCCTTTGCATACAGGGCGTTTACACAAACAAATGTTTTCCGTTAGACTTCCATAGTAACGTTCTATTGTCTTAGGAAATAACCAGGTTGTTAAATGCAATTAAATGTATGTATATATGCTCAGTATGGCCTTAAAGCCACAATAAAGACACAATTTTTGACTAGGTTAACCAATTCCCTTTTACGAGTACAGGGTGGGGCGCAACTAAAAAGTACTAGAATTTGTACTTTACTAATAAAGTGTAATCCCAAATAAAACATATGTTACATTTGACCACTTTCTAAATGACATTGTGTAATCATAGAGTACAGGACGTTGAACAAAACAACCCCAGTTCCACACACCTTGGTCAAATGTCACCTACTTGAAAATATCTCTGCACACATTCAGCATAGGTCATCGTGTTAAAAAAAGACAGCACTAAATATTGAAAAATATGGTGAGTTTCAGTTGCTCGGTGGATGTACGTGTACAAAAAGACAAAACTCTAGCTGTCAGATTATTCTCATTACATTGAAGGCTTACGAAAAGTGTT